CAGCTTGTGGGGACATTGCTGTGCTTATCGAGGTGCTGCAACAATCATTTTGTCGTTATATCTTAATATCTTCCTTTCTTTCAACGATCGGCACCACCTCCCATTTCTCTTTGCCGGAACCGGAAAATATCTTCCTTTCTTTCAACAATCGGCACCACCTCCCATTTCTCTTTGCCGGAACCGAATAGCTTGCAGATAACGGAAAGACACAACTGAAAGAGAATCGTGTCGAGAGCAAGCGGCACTCAGGCTAAAAAAGTACAAACAGGCTAGAAAATTACAAAGGCTTGCGAACATGGAGGAAATGAGGCCCTGGTAGTTAACAGTGTGGGGAAAAGTGGAGACAAAAAGAGGCCAGAGTTGACATCAGGGCCCTGCTGGCTGCCGGTGTTGTTGCATATTTTCATCATCTTATCATTTTTCAGACAGCTCTCCATCCAACTGCAACGGCGTTATTTTCCACCCAACTCTCATTTTGTGAGGGCGCTGGAGCATAACACCCAAATGATGTGATAGTGTCTGTAGTGGACCAGCGAGGGTCTGAGTCACCAACTTAGAACGCCCACGTGGCTATGATACAGTGCAGCAGAACAGGCAAGAGGGTAGGCAGAGAGGTTTGCATGGTCCCCCACCCCACCCCCCCATGGGTGTTTTGTAACTGTGTGGGTGAGATGCGCTTGTTCATGTCTGCAATGCAGCACTTCTTGTTGTTTATGTAGTGGGTTTCATCACTACCCAAGGCGCTCTCTGCTAGATGAGAGGATTACTGGCATTGTGGGAACGCGGGTAGATGATTTTCTGATTATGCCGCACCCTCTCTGGAGGAGAAACCACACTAAGATGAGTTAACATCTGCTTATTCAATGTGCTGTCCTATTAAAACGGAAACTAGCCATGAGAAAGTGGATTGAGTTGTGGGTGAATCTTTTAATAGTTGGATGTGAGTTTCGAGGAATGCTAGAAATGAGCGGTCCCACATTCCACCCTTATGACCAAACCAAACAAAACAAGCAACTCAAATAATGTATTAATTAACAGAATTGACAAAAGTGATTGTTAGAGTTAAACCCGAACAAGTTTGAACAGAAGAACTCGACTCAGGGAAGGTTGTTGGTGCAGTCTGGTGGGAGTGGATCGCTCAGGGCGAACGGCGGGCAGTTGCTCCGCAATCACACTCAAAGTCCCTCGTGTTCTTCGTCGGTCTTTTATTGTTTACATCTGCAAAATACAAGAAAGACACTGCCCCCAATATTTGCATACCACGCCCCCGGTCCGGCCCCTCGGTCGAAGATGTGATCAACTTTTGTCAAGCTTTGAACCACAGATACAGTACTTTAACATCGTCTCCCACGAATAAACAAGTCGAAGACTTTACAGATGACAAATGGTCTCCTGGGCCGCAACCAGTTCCCAGACAGTCTTTTGATGTTCTAAAACACTTCGTTCCTAAACTGTTTACCGAGTCTAGCCTCCTTCTATCTGTTCGCACTCTTGCGGTAATGTGCTTCAAGAGCCCTCTGCCCGGATGACCCAACACCCTAGTGCAGACATTTGGGGGCGCTGAATACACAACCCGTCTAGATAGGCCCAAATTAAATGGAACTTTAAACATGATATCATTCCGTTCGTAGATTCCTCTAACAGTGATATTGGGACAGTTTTAGCTCTGCGGCACAGTGAGCGACTGGTTAGCACGTCCGCCTCACAACGCAGAGGTGTAGGGTTGGATTCTGGCTCTGACCTTCTTGTGTGGAGCTTGCATGTTCTCCTGCGTGGGTACTTTGGTTTCCTCCCACATTCCAAGAAAATGCGTGGCCGGTTAATGGAACACTCTAAATTGTCTCTAGGTGTGAGTGTGAACGTGAATCGTTCATCTATGTGAGCCATTCGATTGGCCGGCAACCAGTTCAGGTTGTCCCCCCGCCTACTGCCCATAGACAGCTAGGATAGGTTCCATTATGGCCGTGACCCTCGTGAGGATAATCGGATTAGAAAATGGATGGATGGATGGATTCTTTGTGAAAATACAACGGCAGATTAGGATCATTATGCAAGAAAAAGAATAATAAGATGAGATTTAAAACCGTCATGATGAGAATGAAAGTTACCATGACGACATATAAAATCTTCGTTGCAATTTCCTTGGCAGCATTAAAGTCAGCTGCTCACGCTGAGCTCGGTTGTGGTGTCAGACACACACGAAGTTGAAGTCACAAGGCAAAATAACTTACACTCTTATTTCTAGGAAGGCATATTGGGGTCGCCGTGATGAATTTAAATCTTGTCATTATGACTTAAGGGGCCACATCATGCTATTCTCAATCAATTTTTTTTTTTTTGAGCTTTTAGCCATGTTAAAATGCTAATACCTCACCTAGAACACCCTAATGTGGTGCTTTACTCAATTCACCCATCTTGGAACATTCCCGCTCATTTCTGCTCTCTAACCATCAGCCCCCTCCCAATTAAAGAAAACGACTGGGTCCTCACTTCTCCACGTCACAGACTGAGGAGCCACCCTTGCCTTTCTTTCTTTCTTTCTTTCTTTCTTTCTTTCTTTCTTTCTTTCTTTCTTTCTTTCTTTCTTTCATGCACACTGTAACCTGATAAAGGGATAAGCTGTCCACTGTATCAACCACTGTCCCTGAAAAGGTGAATTCACTTGTTGGCTACCATAGCTCACACTCATGACAGCTTTCTCGGAAACGTAATTCTGAAGTGACACCAAGTGGAAGGAAAAGATATCCTGTCACCCAGTCCCAGTTATCTCTTTTATATCTTTTCAAGACATACTGTGAAGAGAAAGGTCAGCCAATTTCAAGAAAAAAAATTAGACAATATTTTGTTGAGCACAGGGGTACCCTGACATGTCTTGAATGCACAGAGAAAGGGTTGGTGGCCAAGAAATCAGACATCAGAGTGGCAGAATAAAGGACAAAAATATCCAAGAAAGCGTCTTTATCTAATGTAATGCAGAACATTACACTTTTTACTGCAATAGCAGCGGAAGATAGCCAGCTTTTCCTTGTAATCTGCCGGATGTTGCTGCGCCACAGTTGTCCTTGCCCAGATGGATACATGGCATCATTTCATCACGTCTGCATGCCGTCCTCAGTTACGTCTGCTTTTCCTCTAAGTAGTGTGTTGACACAGCATCAGTCACTCAAGCGGACCCCTCATCGAAGTCACACATCAACACAAATTTTGGAACTCTGTGCATACACGAGGCGACCTGTCTTATTAGCCGTCCATTTTGGAGAACATATAAGCCTTCTAAGTGCAGCTTTTGGTCATGAAAATACGGTATCTGTTGCCATGCAGCACAGATTGTCATGGTGATTTTCTCCAATTAAAGCACTGCAAGCTTGTTGACGCTGCAAATTCAGAGTCAAAAGCACTCCGTATTCTAATCTTTATTGAAGAGTTGGTCCATGAGTCTTCACTCATGTAGAGAGATACACCTACTGGCCACAACATTATCACCATGTATGCAAGGTGTTAATATTCAATACAATAGTGGTATTGAATATTTTACCATTACAAAAATAATCATGTTCAATTGATTTAAAAGTTAATTGCCGTGGTTGTAGTTTAAATGTACTGCATTATACTGAGTCATCATGAGTTTTACTCTTTTAGTTAACTAAAATATGGCTGGCGTTGGGCCGAAATCTCATATCTCTCATGAAATTTTCACCAATCTGTACTAGTGGTCAGCTACAGATCTATAAACCAATCGGATGTGCTGAAAATGGCTTGCTCTCTTGATGACGCTCGCTTAATGGTTGAGCAAACGTCATATTTTAGAAAAGAGACGAAATGTAGTTACTACACTGCAGTTACAACCCTGGCAGGTTAGTACATGTGTTACACCACGGCAAACTAAGGCCACATAAATAAATAAACTAAATTAATACCTCACTGTGACAGAGCCAATCAAAACTGAGCATCATTATCATTATTAAGCCTGAATATTTCATACTGGTTATCATTTTGTCTGTGTGTCATGACTAGTGTTAAGGAATTTATGCCTTACTGTGAGTTTATTTAGCCCCTCTCTGTTGTTGGTTCTGTTCAAACACGAAAACAAAGAATGTAGAATGCTGTTGGAGGTATTTACTGCTCACTGTGATTACAATCACCTTTAGTGCCCCTCGACCCTCACCACTTTTAGGGCCCCCTCCAGAGGACATGTTTGATATCAAAAGAGTAACTGTTTTCTCAAGCATCTGTGTTCCTGCCATTACGTCAAAGATCAGACCGAAGACAATAATGGGTAGTGGTGGTCTGGTCTCACCTCATCACTCCCAACTTTTTCCAGCTACACCGGGTCAGATGACATGTACATTTCTTTGTTTCCAGGATTTGCATGGAGGCATAACTGCCCGCCTCTCATTATCATACAGTATTGTCCCTATATATTCTCATGACTGCATTTTTCTACGCTTCCTGACGAAATCTGAGACTCTCAGGAGCCCGAATTGATTCGTGTTGCGTTGTGATAAACTGAAGAAAAGACGACGTGGTGTTGGGTCTTCTTCCACCTTATAGAGAAATAAAAGAACCTGTGTCCAAGGAGGGCCAAAAGGAAATTGACAGATCCCCTCCTCTACACTAGGGATGGGGTAAATGTTGCCAACAATGCCATCCAGGAGAATTTCAACACCAGGAATTGATGTTAGTAATGTTTACACCAATAGTAAGAGCTAATGTGACACGCATGCTCTTATGCCTCAGGGCGAGATTGTTTCCAAATTGTAAGCAAGGTTTATTCAGCAAATAATGCCAACAAATCAGGCCACAGCTATGACCACCGCACCACAATGGAGGCTCCGATCAGAAGACGGGCCAAGATGCATTCACCTGCCTCACTAAATAGCCATGCTGCTGGAGCCGAGGATGAGGAGAGAGGATCGTCGGCGCGGAGCGCGGATATGTAGTTGGAACCGAGAGTCTCTGCTTTGATTGAAAAGGATTTACATGATACAAGACAAGTGAACCAATCTGCTTTTTCATCAATGAACGCTACAGCTTCTTGTTTCCTTTCAAACTTAGCCTGTAGCAGACGTGTGCACATTTTGAGCATGATGTCTCTGATCCACTGGTGAAAGGACACTTGGATTCTCCCCTCTTTCATCAAGAACTGCTTCAAACAACAAAGCATATGCAGGAAAAATGGTTAAGATTGCATGACTGTCCGTGTTTTCTGTTATGTGTTGTATTGTATTATTTTGTTATTATATGTTAGCTGTTTTGTAAAGTACTTTGTTACAGCTGCACCTGTTGTCAAAGCATTATATAAATAAAGATGTATTGTATTGTATTGTATTGTATTCTATTGTATCTGGTCAGTGCCTTCTGCCTTGGCAAAGTCATATCTATATGCCCTCTGCAACACCATGCTCATTATCATGAACCCCCTCTTTGAGTCTGGTATGGTTCCCTTGAAGTTTAAAACGACCACAGTCACACCCATCCTCAAGAAGCCTGGTCTTGACCCAGAAACCCCTGTTGGGGGGAAGTGGCTTTCTTTCCTCTGCGTGTTCGTTGAATTTCAGATGGTGAGGATGTTGGTTATCCAAATACAGGCTGGAGACTATGAACAGTACCTTCGAAGGGTTTATTTGCAGAATATTCCGGACACCCGCGGTTTATAGACAATGGCTGCGGATCACGAATGCAAAAAAGCAAGGGATTCATAACATATTTATATCATCAGAAGGGCGGTACCAAAACTTATGGTGTGGCATCAGGACCTTCGTTTCTCTTAAACCGATTCTTAGCTTGTATCAACTGCCACATTCTGATGGTCTGTGCGTCTTTACGAGGTCTCCGGTAAGGAGTGTACCAATATTTAGTGATGATTGCTTCAAGGACGCAAAGGTACGCTGTTGCGGGCATGGGAAGTTATACAGCATGACTAAATATGGGCAGAATACACACTTCACCCCCCAAAACTATAGGACAATTTCCAAACTTTCTTTCCCAGATCCTCAAAAAAGCAGGCTTTAGACACCACCACAGCACAGTGATGGCCCTCATCAAGTCACAAACAACCTACCGGTATGATCTGCCCACGCAGAACACATCAGTATTCCCAGTGACCCCCTCTGATGCTTTAGACTCCATCCGTCTATTTTCAACACTGCTTATCTTGAGCAGGGTCACGGGTGGGTGCTGGAGCCTGACTTCGGGCGAGAAGGCAGACTACACCATGAACTGGTCACCAGTCAGTCTCACGACACATATAGAGACAAACAACCATTCGCACCCAGATACATTCCGTCAATGAGTGGGAACCGATACCACGCTGCACACACACAAGTCAGACATCTTTGATTACAGCTTCACAGGTTCCGTCAACAGAGGTGAAACACAAGACTCTATACTTGGCCCTCTCCTCTTCACTATCTACATACTCCCTCTGACAGATTATCTGCAAACATAGACTGATGTTTCATTTGTCTGCTGACGATACCGGGGTCTACATCAAAAACATGCAACCACTCAGTTCCCTCTCTGGCATCAGCAGTCATCTACCTATTTTTTTAGTTTCATATTTTTTACTTGCCTAATTTCACACATGAAATTGGCCAGGCACTCCAGAGACTGTTTATAACTATGTGTAGAAAAACATTCACAATTTTCCATCATATGTCCCTCTTAAGGATGCTTAATTTCCAATCGTGAGTCAAGTGAGTCAGTACAATTACAATGATTATTTGAAATTTAATGTCCTGATCTTAATTGTTCTTCTCTCTGTTTTTGTCTTGCAGTGGAAGGATGCACAGATTGGTCTGTGGACTATCTGAAATACAAGGTGCTCGTGGGTGAACCTGTTCGGATAAAGTGTGCTTTGTTCTATGGATATATCCGTGCCAACTACACACATGCTCAGAGCTCAGGACTCAGCCTCATGTGGTACAAAAGTGAAGGACATGGTGACTTCGAGGAGCCCATCAGTTTTGATGGCACACGAATGAGCAAAGAGGAGGATGCAATATGGTTTCGACCAGCCGAAGTAGGCGACGTGGGCTACTATTCCTGTGTATTAAGGTACAGTCTATACTCTCACACCAATATACCAGCACCCACGATTCCTGGTATCTAACAAGTGGCACTGTGAAAGTTTTGGACATTAGCATTCAATGCCATGTGCACCTTCATCATGGTAGCAGCCACGAATAGACATTCACTCAGTCCTGATCCAATGCTTTTCTGTTCAGTAACATTGGCAGCATTTTGAGGTCAATGAACACGAACATCAAGTGAACCCTGCATTATTGTGTCGTCATGCATAAAGTTGATTTGGAGACAAATTACTGCTTTGGCACCATTCAGAACCAAACTTCTGTCATCACATTGGAGCTTCAACAAAATTGCTAAATTGAAAAATAGGGGTTTCCCTCATGCATTTGTTTCCATGTTACAATGGAATCTTTATAGTTGTTTTACTTTGTTTGGCCTGAATGGAAATTTATGACCAAATGCTAAAACATAGCCACTGAAGGTCGGTGTTATAATTAGTGACTTAAATTCTAGAGCAGGGGTCGGGAACCATTTTGACTAAGAGAGCCATGAAAGCAAAATATTTGGAAATGTATTTCAGTGAGAGCCATACAGTATATATAACAAGTGGCACTGTGAAAAGTTTTGGACATATATATATATACATGTTTGTTTCAGTCAGGTTTTGGTCATTGTTATGTTTTATCTTAAGTCATGTGTTTTGTTTGATACTTTGGACTTTGTTTGTTTTGGATTTAGTTTTCCGAGTTTTAATCCAATCTTTCAAGTACACCCTGCTCCTCCCTCCTGCCTGCTTTTTGGGGTCCACCACCACCACGCAAACATGACATATATAAAGTGAATTCAACAAAATGTCAGTATAATAAGCCTCCGAATGTATACTTTTAAATAATGTTATAATACTCACCATTAATGTGAATGGTTTTCCGTTCCTCACGATTGCTAAAGATCCAGCAAAACTACCGGAATTATAGTCAGCTTGCTGGGTTTATATGCGGAGTTGCTGCTGGCTAGCTTGCATCCTGCTCAGTAGCTTGAACGCTTCCTTTCTACTGTCTCCTGCACTGTATTTTGATGCGAACGGAACATGGTGCGTGTCAAAGTGCCGCTTTACATTCGACCGTTTCATCTATGGTATTTTGTCTTTGCAAATTAGACACACCGCAGAACCTGTTCTCTCCACAAAGGCGAATCCTTCGGTCCATTCGTCCTCAAGTGTACCATAGTCGTCATCTTTTCTTTCTTTTAGCCATTTTATTCGTCGAAGCTTTGAGCTAATGACCGAGCGGGCTGATTCAAAAAAAGGTGTTTACCTGTTTCCCCAGCAACAGCCTACGTAGACCACTATCATCCAATTAAAATAGCTCCTGCCGCCAACTGCAGCAACAGAACGTGAGCAGTGAAATATTGATGGATGGATTAAACAAGCAAGAATAGTTTGTTTTATCTGCGAGCCAGATGCAATCATCAATAGAGCCACATCTGGTTCGGGAGCCATCGGTTCCCGACCCCTGTTTTAGAAGGTACTTTATCTTGAGTATATGATTGCAACACAAGGGGGGCAGGGGGGGCAATTCCAGTCCTGGATGGCCACTATCCTGCATGTTTTCCATCTCTCCCTGTTGCAACCCACCTGATTCAAATGAACAGGTTCAATGTCAGGCTTCTGCAGAGCTTGCTGATGATCTGATCATTTGAATCAGGTGTGTTGCAACAGGGAGAGATGGAAAACATGCGGGATAGCAGCCCTCCAGGACTGGAATTGCCCACCCCTGCAATGAGGCATGATGCAATCAATGGTACATCTGCACAAAGAGGAATCTTAGAACATATTTTTTGTTTTGCAGTTTGCACAGTGTTTCAGTTCCCTTATATCCTCACAATGGCCCACAACACACAACTGGTGTATTGCAATTTCAGATTATAAAAGAAAATCGTACTTATATAATTCGAAGGGGCATCTTTACTACGTTAGCTCACTTAAAGCCGCAACCCGCCTATAAGATCTCATAGACTGCTTTGATTTTTTTTCCCCCTGAAATTGACATTTCCCTTTTGTGTGTCTCCATGAACAGAGTGATATGGGATGACACAAACATATTGTGATGTATTCAACTCGCAGACATAGACTTGATGAGCTCACTTCCGTATAGTCTTATGACATGAGAAATATGTATGATTCCCCAAAGAGCTCCATTGAGCTCAATACTGATAAACAACCCAAAGATTGTTAAATACACTTTACATTAAATTGTTTGCTGTGCGTTTTCACATTGGATGTTGCATATCTTGTTGCATTACTGCCATTCTCTCATTCTTACTCACTGTCTTGAAAACAAATACATGGATGTTGTGGATTGTCTTTTTTGTCGGCATGACATCGATTCGTCCGACTTCCAAACAAGGTGTGCATGAACCCCATCTTGTCGCTTCTTGTGTTTGCTCAGATGCATTTCAACGAGGACATTGTCATGCCCTATGATGTACACACACAACATGTCAGTTCTGAGCTCCCACAAGACCAGCTGCAACTGACAAGGACTTAGTGAGCCTCCAACACACAGCATTTACTTACACATATACACGTGCACACTTGAAATTCTGAGCATGCGTGCCTCTCTCTTTGGCTCTCTTGCGCCCACTCCCTCCCACATACACACATACTTGCACACATGCGGTTAATGCACGCACGCGCACACACACACACACACACACACACACACACACACACACACACACACACACATACGTGCAGATCTGTTGCCACGTTATAAGGGAGCGGTCACGTCATGTATAGTAAAGGAACGCAGAGCAGATGAGCGGCGCTGTGTGTCAAATCGAGGTCAGCACTCAGCTGTTTCAGATGTTATACCCCGAGGAATATTGTCATATGCGAAGCAAAACCATCTGCAATGGCAAAATCTGTCACTTAATGCAGAGTGGCAGAGTACACACATATGCATAGACATACACAGACACACGCACACACATGCTATTCAGATTGTAACTATGCTACGAGAGTGGCCATTATCTTTTTAGTTTCATAAAGCTTCTAGTTTTGCTTTGCATGAGGATGCTCATTCCAGGATTCAACATTAATCATTGTGAAAACATAAGATTCATACAAAATTCCACACCACACCACCAGTTTGTTTAGCTTTCGTGCAGTTTGCAGTGCGAAATATTATTTTTATAATGAGATTACTTTTGACAATGTGGTGACATAAAGTAGACTGTGTTCAGTGTTAAAGACAGGTGCATCTTCATTTTCGGGCCGTGACAAGTCTAGTTTGGAATGTCTGTGAATTTGGGAGACCGCACCACACCTCACTAGGCGTATTCTATCACATGCCTCCAGAGCATCTGGCAATTTGGTAACCAAAAGTACATTAGATTTTAGACTAGCTAAAAGCAGGTCTAAGTTATGGTGCAGATGGTGTAATGCAATTTTTGTGAGGTGCAGGCAGACAGATTCCGACCTCCAGGGACGTGTGTGGTGGATAATATTGTATTTCATTCATGAATATGAGAAGTGTGAGACAATCCCTCTGAATCATTGTCGATTTTCAATCAATTTATTGAACAAATTCTTTTAATAGGACCCCACTGTCCGCATGCCACAACTATGGGTGGTAGTGTTTTTGTGGCGTCAGGAGGCGGGGTGTCACACGCAGATGCACGATCAGGGGTGGAAAGCGGTCTCCAAGTGCCCATCTGCAGCGGCCAACTTTGCTTTTAAATGTACTTTGCACGTGCCGATCTCCTGCATCTCGGAGTTCATGCCCTGTAGACCCCAACCTTTTTGGCATCATGGTGTGATTTGGACAAGAACATGCTTTTCACGGACCAGCAACCATTCACTAAATGGGGTTTAGTTAGGTGGGGTCTACAGAGTAATTCAACATTGTATTAATATAGGAAGGACTTTTTTTTTTTTAGCAAAATGAAAAATATGTTTTATTCATTTCAATAATGTATTTAATAGTACAACAATTGTGGAACAATATAAAATAACACACTGTCTTGAAATCTGAACATAATTTTTCAGTCTCACTCCATGAGACGTGACCTTATCGTGGTAGAAGGGTTTGCATCTCCCTTTGATCTTAAGAGCTACATTTTTGGGGGCTTTATGAGGGACCAGACAAAGCAAGGCTCACAAACCCCTTATGAGGAACAACAACATTGGACGGCATTTCCCCTTGCCCGTACGCGGGTCACCGGGGCCCACCTCTGAAGCCAGCCCTGGAGATGGGGCTCAGTGGCAAGCGCCTGATGGCTTGGCCTGCACCCATGGGACCCGACCGGGCTCAGCCCGAAAAGCCAATGTGGGTCTCTCTTCCCATGGGCTTCACCAGCTGTGGTTGGGGCCAAAGGAGTCAGGTGCCCTGTGACCTTCGTGGCGGCAAAAGGTAGGGATTTTGGCGATCCGATCCCCGGCTACAGAAACGAGCTCTAGGGACATGGAATGTTACTTCTTTGGCAGGGAAGGAGCCTGAGCTGGTGTGTGAGGCCTCGAAGTACTGACTAGATATAGCCGGGCCCGCCTCCACACACAGCTTGGTATCTGGTCCCAGTCCTCTCAAGAGGGGTTGAACAGTCTTCCATTCTGGAGTTGCTCAAGGTGAGAAGCACCGAGCAGGTGTGGGCAGATAGATTGCCACCCAGCTTGGTGCCTGTATGTTGGGGTTCACCCTGGCAGATGAGGGGGTAGCCTCCCTCCTCCTTCGGATGGAGGGACTAGATCTGACTGATTTTTGTTCCTATGCATCAAACAGCAAGAGTACCCACCATTTATGGAGTCCTTGGAGGGCGTGCTGGAGAGCGTTCCCTCTCAGTACTCCATCGTTCTGCTGGGGGACTTCAATGCTCATGTGGGCAATGACAGTGAGACCTGGAAGGGCATGATTGGGAGAAACAGCGTCACCCCAATCTGAATAGAAGTGGTGTTCTGTTTCTGGACTTCTATGCTCATCACTGATTGTCGATTAAAGAACACCATATTCAAATAAAATGGTGTCCTTGGCACCAGAACACCCGAGGCCGCAGTTCGATGATCATCTTTGTCGTCGTGTCATCAGATTTGCGGGCACATGTTTTGGACACTCGGGTAAAGAGAAAGGCAGAGCTGTCAACTGATCACCACCTTCTGGTGTGTTGGCTCTGATGCTGGGGTAAGATACCTGGCAGAATCAAACGTATTTTGAGAGTTTGCTGGGAACATCTTGCGGAATCCCCTCTCAGAAAGAGTTTCAACTCGCACCTTTGGCAGAAATTTACCCATATATCGGAGGAGGCAGGGGACATTGAGTTTGAGTGGACCATGTCTCATGCCTCCATTGTTGAGGCGGCTGATCACAGCTGTGGCCCTAAAGTGTTCAGTGCCTGTTGTGGTGGCAATCCCCAAACCTACTGGTGGACACTGGCTGTAAGAGATGCCATCAAGCTGAAGAAAGAATCCTGTCGGGCCTTTTTGGCCTGCGGGACTCCAGAGGAAGCGGATAGCTACCGGCCGGCCAGGCGAAATGCAGCTTCGGCAGTCGCTGAGGCAAAAACTGTGGGAGGAATTTGGCAAGGCGGAGTGCCCTTTCCAGGTTGGAGATGAGCTCTTGCCTCAAGTGGAGAAATTCCAGTATTCTGAGGTCTTGTTCATGAGTTAGGGCAGGATGGAGTGTGAGATCAATTGGCAGATCGGTGCACCATCATCACTAAACCACGATGATTCTTAGTCTGGTGTTTCTTATTGTTTTAGAGGGGGCTGGATCTAAACGACTGAGTGTTCCAGAAAGGCCCATTCTGACTGGCTTTATTACCTGCTCCCCCTGCCTGTGAATATTAATCCTGCCCACATGCGTGAATTTCAGTGTGCACTTGCGAGCACGGGGAGATATGATCGTGACCTCGGTGAACACATGCACTTTCACTTCTTCATAATATTCTTGAATCTCTGTTCTCTGCTGGAGACAGTGCAGTCCTTGTGAGACAGGCAGGGAAGCACAGCGACAACAGGCCAGCATAAGTGGACAGTCAAAGGTTAAACATTATCTACCTGCAAGGAGGCAGCCCGCTCTCCGCTCATCTCATTTTGTAGAAACAGTTTTGTGTGCTGGTTTGTACATCAAGGATCTCAGCTATGCTTTTGTTGATTTAAATTAATGTGCAGCTGATGGGCGGTCATGAATTGGCGCTATCTTCCGAAAAGTAAGCTTCTTTGTTTGAGTTGTTAGAGTGAATGAAGCCGTTGTGTATGGTAAGTCATAAAACAATGCAATACAACAAACCTGTTGAATAATTTGAACAAGTAGCACCCATGTGATGAAGTGGAAAGCATGACAATGCAAGAGTTTGCACAGCCTGCCCACATAAACAGTAGTTTTGTCATGATTCGGTTTGGGACCAACAGGTGGCACTGTAGGGCTTTCCCTGCAGCTGCACACCTGTTGGTCATTCGGTAATTAGTGCTTTAAAAGGACTCCCAGCCCGACCACTCATTGTCGGTTCATTGTTGCTCTTTGCTACTGTCATATTTGTTTGTTGCCGTTTCTCTGCTGCTGTCACGTATGAGTTAAAAATGAGCTGAGGGTGTTGTGAAAAAGAAAACTCGTTCTCTGAAGGTTTTGGCTTGGAAATGACTTACTGTAACACTGTTATGACATGTGAGAGAAGCTGCTGTGTTTGTCACACATGACTTGAGGGAAGGTTTTTAGATATATTTTATTACATGGTGTTTGTACAGTATAGCTGGGAGGAAATGATGCATATGCATGTGTCAGACATTGTGTGATTTGAGGACATATGTGGGAGGAAATTGCCCGCTTTCACTGAGAGTTTAATAGTGTTTCTGTTTGTATTCAGGCTTGCAGAGGTGTCAAGCAATGCATTAAAAATACTTGGCTTCCTTACATTAAGTAGATATTTTGGGTATGTATACTTTAGAGATGTAGTTATTTTTTTATTTTGTTTTGTTCATTACACTTTATCAATGTTCAAAAAATAAATCGCGCAAGGATAGATCGAGTGATTGATTGTGGTTGTATGAGAAGTATAAACATATGAAGCCTTCTGAACCCTTGAAGCTTTTCATCCAACTGGTTCACAAAAAGGTTCAGCTCATGGGGCTTCATGTGCATGCAAACCTCCCTTGGTGGCCAAAGCCTTGGTTGTCATTTGAACTTTATGTGTTTGTGTGTTTTTTTGTGTTTTTGTCCCACACTGGGGAAATTTGCAGTCTACAGACTGGAATCAAAACACCAAAGTTATGTCTTATGAACAGGGGTTCATTTATGTAATCTGTTTATGATTAATGCTATGGCTCCGGCCTTCCTTTGTGGAGTTTGCATGTTCTCCCCGTGGGACAGCTGGGATAGGCTCCATTACCCCCCGCGACCCTTGTAAGTATAAAGAGGATCAGAAGATGGATGGATGGATAACTATGGCACACAATGATCAAATGTCATGCTATGTTTATGTTAAAGATAGGTGTTTAAAAAAACGATGGTGACATTGACATAGTGTTTAAAAACAAAATAAATCTTCTTTCATGTATTGGCTTGGCTATATGCACTTTTTCCTTATTTAAAGTGGATTGTCAGTTATTTTGTTTTCATGTACCGGTAATTTTGACTTATTCCTCTACTCATACGAAACCATTTTGCCAATGTCATGTGGCCAACAAATGCAAGACAGAGCCTAGGAATTTGGACACAGTAATGGACTCTATGCACGCATTTAAGGTGTGGAGGCGTGCTAACTTGTCACTAGTCTAACGCATAGCGATAACATCAACCGCTTTAATAGACCCTCACTGTCTACTTAAATGACGTCAGGTTACCGTAGATGATTACCTTATTCAGTGCTCCAGGTTTCCAACTGCCCGCATAGCAATCCAAGCACCATATCTCATTTAATGACCCAATTGCTGCATCACAGAACATGCAGGTTCTTGTGATTTGACACGCTCAACCCAACTTTGTCCAGAGGGCACTAAAACAACCACAAATAGAATAGAAAGTCTTTATTGTCTATGGCACAGATGCAACAACATTCAGCTTATGCAAACATAAAAGACAACCAATAATAAAATAACAGTAACTCTTCAGGGGCCTGTAAGTATTTGGCTCACAGGCCGTAAAATGCCCGGGTCTAGTCTAGAATGCACAGAAAAGGCTCGGCATCTACGTCCTTGCATATTTTCAAGGATCAAAATGTAAAATAGTGGCATTGTAAAACACAGAGTTGGCCATTCTGTCCCTGGGACTGATGGACAGACCGTTCCGTCCCAGGGACGGGTGGCCATTTTGGGGACGGAGGGCGAGAGCTTATTTAAAGAGGATGGATTCTCGTCCGTACCTTAAATCGTCCCTAATGAAAAGAAGGTGCCGCTCCCTAATTGTGTCTGTGTTTTAGTCATTTTCGTTTGTTTTTGCCAACCCTATGCCGCTTACTCAAGAGAAGACTTGCTAAGCATTAGGGGACTACGCTCGGACGTGTTAACCAACACACGCAAACCCAAAAGTTTTTTATTACCGCAATGATCATTGTAGCTCCATTCTATACATATTAAAACAATTGTCATCGATCAAACAACACCAGACACTTTAAAACACTCAAGGATTTTCTGCATAATTGCACACCTAAAGGTTTACTACAATTAGTGCTTCTGGTCACTGAAAAAAAAATGCAACGATTCTCTGCACCAACTGCGCAACCGTCATAGTATTGTATTCTACCATTGATCACTTTCACTGTGCTCGATACTCTGCACATTGTCACATAGCTGTCATTGGCTGGTACTACTGCACAATGGTACGCTTACATTATGGAAAGTATTTCGATACTTGTATGTCATGTCCTTGTTTATCGTAGTTTCTTGTTATTGCAATATTAGGGTAGCCTGTACTACCGGAGACAAATTCCTTGTGTGTTCTACAATAAAGATGATTCTGATTGAGATTCTAACAGGGTCAAGTACCTACAGACACACATTTCACTAACGACTGACAGAAACATGCCTAGCCTGACTTGCATGGGTCATCCGCCAATACATGATGAGGGCGGAGGGACGATCACGGAAGGGTGCCCAGGTCACGGATGGAGGACGGACCAGCAAAATAGGATAAAGTGCCCATCTCTGGTAAAACATGAATGCATAGAAAATACTATAAATATAAGGGCAATAAAATAGCATCACACATAAATTCATCTATTGTTACAAGCTACGCCAATATTCAAAATGCAAGATAATCTGTCAAAATCACCTTTTGTTACAGTGTCAGGCTTCAACTTTCAATAAACTGGCGATGCAATGACATGCCTGTGTGACCATGACCTGGTGGCTGTAGACTGTCCTTGTCTCTGCCCACATTGCCTTGCCTCGCTCGCTCGAGGATGGGACCTGTCTAGGCAGCTGGTTGGGTTGCTGGGATCTGTCGGGGACTGATTTGTGCCTCTTGACAAAAGAGCAATATCAGCAATACCTCCCTTCCTTTTCATGGTTATCTGGGCCTATACAAAATAAAAAGTCTGGTTTGACCTAAATGTTCTTTTAGGCCGAACCGTAAAGTTTGTCCCCATTCTTGTGTTTTAACTTATTTTAAAGTCACTTACCAACCTAGCTACTGTAACATAAAACTAGATTATGTCGGTTAATGAGGGCTAAGTAACTCGGCTAACCTTCTAATTTAGACATGAAAACAACAAACAAGCTTTATTGATACTGAGAAAATCTCTGGGAATGTATTACAGTTTCATCCAACATTGCAGTCCAACATTAAATTCTTAGCAAGCTGGGTTAATTATCCACTTACTGAAAACTAACAATTGCACGGGGATCCCCACATTATCCTAATGGAGTGAGATCCAAGCTAATGTTAGGATACCGCTTCAGAACGTTAGCTGGCATACACAGGTCAACTACTGGTGACGAAATCTCTTTTCGTCTAAATGTTCAGTCATATTGCCAGTAGTTAATTGAATGACTAATTTGAAAAGACATCCTTCCATTTACCTGAGAATGAAGTCTTTACTGAATGTATGTTCTTCTCTGGATACGTGCCACTCACTCGAAAGACGCCTTCTCGCATTTTCAATAATCACGCATATTTCAAGGAGACAGAGGGACCTGTCAATCACTTGATGTGGTAGCACTATTTTACTCGGCATGACCCACCCTAGTGTGCCTCTGATTGGCTCATCGGTACTCATGCCTGAAGTTAACCAATCTAATCAGCGAAGGAAGCGAGTAACAGCTAATTAGAGGCAGAGGTGGGTCATGGCTTCACAATCACTGGGGAAAAAATGGATGGTACTACTGCACAATGGTACGCTTACATTATGGAAAGTATTTCGATACTTGTATGTCATGTCCTTGTTTATCGTAGTTTCTTGTTATTGCAATATTAGGGTAGCCTGTACTACCGGAGACAAATTCCTTGTGTGTTCTACAATAAAGATGATTCTGATTGAGATTCTAACAGGGTCAAGTACCTACAGACACACATTTCACTAACGACTGACAGAAACATGCCTAGCCTGACTTGCATGTGTCATCCGCCAATACATGATGAGGGCGGAGGGACGATCACGGAAGGGTGCCCAGGTCACGGATGGAGGACGGACCAGCAAAATAGGATAAAGTGCCCATCTCTGGTAAAACATGAATGCATAGAAAATACTATAAATATAAGGGCAATAAAATAGCATCACACATAAATTCATCTATTGTTACAAGCTACGCCAATATTCAAAATGCGAGATAATCTGTCAAAATCACCTTTTGTTACAGTGTCAGGCTTCAACTTTCAATAAACTGGCGATGCAATGACATGCCTGTGTGACCATGACCTGGTGGCTGTAGACTGTCCTTGTCTCTGCCCACATTGCCTTGCCTCGCTCGCTCGAGGATGGGACCTGTCTAGGCAGCTGGTTGGGTTGCTGGGATCTGTCGGGGACTGATTTGTGCCTCTTGACAAAAGAGCAATATCAGCAATACCTCCCTTCCTTTTCATGGTTATCTGGGCCTATACAAAATAAAAAGTCTGGTTTGACCTAAATGTTCTTTTAGGCCGAACCGTAAAGTTTGTCCCCATTCTTGTGTTTTAACTTATTTTAAAGTCAATTACCAACCTAGCTACTGTAACATAAAACTAGATTATGTCGGTTAATGAGGGCTAAGTAACTCGACTAACCTTCTAATTTAGACATGAAAACAACAAACAAGCTTTATTGATACTGAGAAAATCTCTGGGAATGTATTACAGTTTCATCCAACATTGCAGTCCAACATTAAATTCTTAGCAAGCTGGGTTAATTATCCACTTACTGAAAACTAACAATTGCACGGGGATCCCCACATTATCCTAATGGAGCGAGATCCAAGCTAATGTTAGGATACCGCTTCAGAACGTTAGCTGGCATACACAGGTCAACTACTGGTGACGAAATCTCTTTTCGTCTAAATGTTCAGTCATATTGCCAGTAGTTAATTGAATGACTAATTTGAAAAGACATCCTTCCATTTACCTGAGAATGAAGTCTTTACTGAATGTATGTTCTTCTCTGGATACGTGCCACTCACTCGAAAGACGCCTTCTCGCATTTTCAATAATCACGCATATTTCAAGGAGACAGAGGGACCTGTCAATCACTTGATGTGGTAGCACTATTTTACTCGGCATGACCCACCCTAGTGTGCCTCTGATTGGCTCATCGGTACTCATGCCTGAAGTTAACCAATCTAATCAGCGAAGGAAGCGAGTAACAGCTAATTAGAGGCAGAGGTGGGTCATGGCTTCACAATCACTGGGGAAAAAATGGACAATCTAATTCAACAGATATTACTGAAGGGTGCGCATCCAGGGGTGGGTTTAGAAGTGGGTACAGGCATGCTGACTGAAAATTAAGTAGGCATATGCGATATAACTGACAGTAAGGGATGCTCTCAAGGAGAAGAAGGAGTCCTTTCCGGCCTTCTTGGTCTGCAGGACTCCGGAGGCAACTGACCGGCTGGCCAAGTGGCATGCAGCTTCGGTGGTTGCTGAGGCAAAAACTCGGGGATGGGAGGAGTTTGGCGAGGCCATGGAAAACGACTTCTGGACAGCTTTGAGGAAATTCTCGTCCACCATCCGGCATCTCAGGAGGGGGAAGCAGTGCACCATTAACACTGGGTATAGTGGAGACGGGGTGCTGCTGACCTCGACTCGGGACGTTATGAGTCGGTGGGGAGAATTCTTCAAAGACTTCAAAGAATTCCACCAACGCGTCTTGCGTTGAGAAAATTGAGACTCTGAGGTGGACTCTCCTATCTCTGGGACTGAAGGAACTGAGGTGATCAAAAAGCTCCTTGATGGCAAAGCACCAGGGGTGGATGATATCCGCCCGTAATTCCGAAAGGCTCTGGATGTTGTGGGGCTGTCCTGGTTGACATGCCTCAACAACAACGCGTGGACATTGGAGACAATGTCTTTGGATTGGCAGACCAGAGTCGTGGTCCCCCTTTTGACAAAGGGGGACAAGAAGGTTTGTTCCAACAACAGGAAGATCACACTTCTCATGCTAACACAGTTTTAAAGAATGAGGTTCGTTTTCCTCCAGACGGCGTCCTGGTATCTTGGAATAAACGGAAAGCGGAAGCTTGTACACCTCCGAATCCTTCCACTGGAAATATGTTCTGAGTTGCCATGCATTTTGTCCATAGGCAGCTCAAGCTGCCCTTGGTGAACGCCGTAACAAGGAAGCATGCAGCTAGCTCTAGATCAATGCTGCACAAGACGCATACTAATTGGAGCAAGTTAACCCTTGGTCTAATTACGAGATTCAGGCTGATTAACCAAGCTGGACAGTTGAGATGAGCAATACCACAGGCACCGATTTGGTTATATATAAAACCATGTACTAATTGGAACACTGATTACAGACAGGTGGGCCAGCTATATGTTTTCTTAATCTGAGTTTTATATGGACCGTGGACATGAGGCAGGAGATTGGGGAGGAAATCATTTTGATTGTTAGTGTCATAAGATCCATGCCATTGACCACTCTCCTCATTCTTGTGTCAAGCTTGAGGCTGTTTTTCGCTTGACTTTGCGGACTTAAGCCGATTTTTTATGTTGAATTTTCCCTGCCAATCAAATTCACTATAACGTCATACTCATAAATTAAATGTTCTCTTCAGTCAATCGTGCCTGCATGAACTTGGAGATTTTGCCAGTGTTATTGTGAGGAGAAATGATGATCTGGCATTTTACCCATCGATTCATTTCCCACGTGGAAGTGTTATTTCAATTAAGGGATTCAGAAAAATCACATCATTATATCCCTACAGGTGTTAGGCATTGTCTGGTGGTTGTCAAATCACTGTGGTGCCTTTTATTTACAATCAGCAACATCAGATGCTTCACCGGAATTTGTAAGCTTTACTGGTTGGCATAAAGACATCACTACTGTCGTAACGCCTTGGGAATCGCCGGGAAGAGCTGGGGAGAGGGAAGTCTGAGCAAATCTTGTTTTTGAATCTGGAAAGTAGAATTTCCGTGGGCATTAAAAATTGACCTAAAATGACCAGTGATACAGCAAATCAGTGTAATAATGAAGTCAGAATTATTTTCGGAAAGTATCTGCAAAACCAAAACACTGTTGAACATAGTGGTGATAAAATAATCAACATTATTATTCTATTTGTCCTTGTAGGACAAGTTTATTTATTCATAACAAGAACAATAATAATATTGTCACATGTTTCTGTAATGTGAACGAGAACAGAAAAAGAGTGGATTGAACCCATAAAACTCTGAACTGGGCATCACACCCGGCAGTTTGATCATTGCCTTGTCTGACCGCGATATCCAGCCTGCGAGATGAAAATTGCATCCATCCATTTTCAACACCGCTTATTCTGAACTGGGTTGTGGAAGGGTGCTGGCTTCAGGTGAAAGGCAGATTTACACCCTGAACCGGTCGCCAGTCAGTCGCAGGGCATATACGTAGAGACAAACAACCATTCACACCCACATCTACACCGTAATTGAGTGGCACACTATATATAAAAAAGAGCTAAAGGGATTTGGTTCATATGAAAATAATGTCCAGTGCGCACACCAAATGTCCATGCGGTGAGGTCCTTGGCTGGTGAAGCATTAGTATGAGTGACATTTTCAAACTTGAGAGCCCAACAGATTGGGGTAATTGCTATTAAATTTGCAGCCAGACATAAAAACAAAAAAAGGTCAAAGACATATTTTGAAGAAAAATAGCATTTTTCTTTGCACACATTTGGTTATGAAAAATGTTAGTGTCGGCGATTTGGGGAGAGTATAATCTCAATTTCAACTTTTCATTTGAGAGTCAACTCATTAGTTTACTGTTGTGTGTTATGCTTAAAAAAATTATTTTAATTCAGTCCTATGGTGAAATATTATGTTCAAACAATTTTACTATCATGCTTGAATATTTTAAACAAAACCGTTGAATTACAAAAATAAATTTAATACGATCCAAATCTAGTATTTTTTAAATAATTTATTTCTTAGTCTAATCTAATTTTAGGTCTAATTTAAAATGTTTTACTTTCTGACCTGTATTTCTGTTACTCTACTGTGAAAGTTCTCATTTCGTTCACTGATCATTTTCTCAATATCTAAATAGAGACTGTGTGGGATCACTTCCCACTCAGTGACGGTATGGATGTGAGTCATTTGTCTCAATATGTGCCCTGTGACTGACTGGCGACCTGTTCGGGGTGTAGCCCGCTTACTGCCCGACGTCAGCTGGGATCGGCTCCAGCAACCTCCCGTGACCCTCTTCAGAATAAGCAGTGATGGATGGATAATTTACTGTTTCATAATTTATTCGTAATTTTTGTAAAGGGGGAGACTGATGGAACTTTTAGTAGTTCTGCATGCTTTCATTGGAGGACTCTAGCCGAAGCACCAGGCACAAGCGGCCCCTCATTGTTAGACAAATGACATTGCGGCTGTCCAAATTTGCCACGGAGGAGGAGCCTTCGAAGGACCCAGTCTGCGAAGGGTCCTAGAGGACACAGCCTACGAATTTGGACACAGCTATCGTCAAAGAACAGACTCGCTAGCTAAGTATAGAAGAAGACTGTGAACCTTTGTGCTGTCTTCTGCCCGCTTCAGTGTAGCTACCACAACCACATTAAAATGAGGCTGCTATGTTGTGTCTCCTTTGATGCTTGGACTGTTGTGTTTTAAAAGTGGAAGCTCTTGAACAACAATGTACTCTATAACAGGAAGTTATAATAATAACCACACTTGAATTCTGCATCCCTCCATCACATTTTAGTGTGCGTTTACTCGACTTCCAGAATATTGACTCTGGAGTCCTCTCCATGCCCTCCACAGTCACTGTCACCTATCACAACTGATGTATGCAGGACGTGATATAAGATTGCCCTGACAGTGGATATCTGCTTCAGTGTGACACATTTGATGGGCACAATCGCCTATTAATGCCATGGTATTGTGTCACTTGCTACAGCACGTGCCACATAGGCCTCCAAGAACAGTGAGTGCTTGGAGTACACAGGGCACGGTTGAGCCTGGCACTCCCTTCCTGCTTATGACACTGGGTGACTCGCCCTGGCTTAAAAAGCACCAAGATGGATTTGGAATGTTGGAAAGACTATTGGAGGACAAAATGTTGGCCCGTTTCTTTGCTCATTCAAGCAGAGCAGATGACACAGTGCCGCCCCGCCACCTACTCGCCCCCTCCCTGTGCAACAGGGAAACACGTGAACCCATGGGATCCCATTTGCTCAGTAGACCATCTGCTGAAAGTTGTCTGGGATAATCTCCACATCATGTTACATTTGCATCCGGCCACCATGCAAAACCACAATTACCCTAAGTGTTGGGCATTGGCAAGTTTGAAGATTTGTTTGCCGTAACTGTCGACCAGTGTGCCTGCTAATCCGCCAAGCAGCTAATGCAACATAATAATGTCAGGATTTGCCATGTTTGTTATTGTTTGTTGGCTCAGCTCAATTTGTGCGACAAGCTTTGAGAATTTAGAAATGAGATTTTGCTAAAGACTGTCCATTTGTTTGGTCTGTTCACCAGGAGGTATTTGCTGCAAATCAGCTTGCTTGATGGCTTTTTAGCAAGTGTCGGCAAAGAGAAAAGGTGCTCCAACTGACCCACTGATCAGTGGCGAGTCCCATTTGTTCCTCTCCCTGACATGGTGTACCATATCAAAGTGTATTTGTTGATTCTTACAATACATTCTGGAATGAGTTACTCGAATTGACGCAATCTTGAAATCATGGTTTTATTAACGACAACATCTTGGGATCCCTGCCAATGCTTTGCATCTTTCTCGATGAAGGCATATCTAGATGATCGCAATCCCATCGGACTGGTACATGCATACCAGAGCTGTAAAACCAGATCAGACTCTTATATTCACATTTTTTTTCAACATTGAGCATAAGCTTCCAATTTAAATTTGAATGCATTTGGGTTATAAATCAGTTTCTAAACTACAGAAGGTGCTTTATAACACGCCACGTCAAATCCTCATGGATGATGCAATTGGCATTAACTGCAGCAAATTATTTCTGTTAGCCCAAACAGTTCCTGCTTAATAGGGAAAATCAAGACTCATCATTCATGAAAGTATTAATGTCCATACCTCAATGTATGATTTGTCATCACTTGACAAGTACAGCAAAAAAAGGGATGAACATTGCTTACACTCGTTCCTTAAAACTGAAACTTCCTCCAGAAAGATTTGTATTAATCATGTGTTCTCATTCATTTTTCAGAAACTCCACTTACTGCATGAAGGTGTCCATGTCCCTCACCGTGGCAGAAAATGACACAGACCTCTGTTACAACTCCAAGATGAGGTTCTTTGAGAAGGCAGAGCTGAGCAAAAGCAAGGACATTACCTGCACAGGCATCGAAGATTATATCCAGACAGGAGCCGAGCCCCAGATTGTTTGGTATAAGGTAGAAATAAATATTTATCTTTGTGTGCCGTGATGTCTAAAGCCTTTCATTTAAACATTAAATACAAAGCCTCCCTGTCTATACTATAACATAAAGCATACAACCTCATGCCTCTTTGGTCTAAGTGATATACACCACGGAACTGAAACGAGACCCCAACCTAATCCATAAATGAATACAACGGGGATTGGAATAGATCTCTTCGGTCCCCTTCATTTGAACAGATACATCGTGTACGATGTATTTTTCACAGTTGAAAACAGCTCCCGGGTCTCTTAATGTGTCCATGAAATTATTTTGTGAAAAGATCCCTTTTTCAGTCATCCACTGGTCAAGCCGTTCCCTCATAAGTGTTGTGATGCCAAGGAAGGCCTTTACTACCAGATGACTTGGGACACAGCAATTGGGGTTGGCAACGTGTAAAGACCCAAGTCTAAAAACAGAGTAGGAACTGTGAAGGACATACAATACCCCCAAAAAGACAGTTTAAATTGTATTTTAATTTGTGGTTTCGCCGATCAGTGCATACGACGCATGCAGCAGATGCTTCACCTCTTTCCTCTGCTTATACCATAGGAGTGCATGCCAAAGCAATGGAGACAGACAATCGAGAGGAGGAGGGACACCCTCTCCATCAAGGAAGTTCGAGAAGATGACATTGGGAATTACACCTGTGAATTACAGTTTGGAAACTTTGTGGTGCGGAGGACCACCGAACTGTCTGTCACAGGTAAGGAAAAATTCAAAGTCAAGAGTCTTTTTTTTTTCAAGTAGTTTGGTACCTCTTAAAAGACTTTCTGTATCGGAACATTTTAAAAGTGTTTCAGCAAAATAAAATTTCCACAATCTGTCATAGAAGTTTAAATTTCTCTCCTCCGCCCCACCCTCGACCCCTTCAAAAGCAAACTCAAGCAAAAACCCTACGTTCTCACATAAGTGCCAAATTAGTGTGGCCAAGGGCTCATAGACGCGATTGGCCCAGAGATGGTCAACTATGCCATTCAACTTCTCTTTTACTGTTAATCTAGACTAGGAATGACTGTGCATGTAGTTGACTTGAGCAACGGCCCCCAAGATATGCAAAAAAGGAAAACACACTTTTGATCTTAATTGATTGTGGAACATTCGATCCAATTGAGTGGTTTAGTCTCAGAAATCTCATTTTGGTGAAACCCCCATTTTCTGTCACAATCCAAAAGAAATTGCCCCTACATGGGCCAAACAACAGCGTAAGAAAGTTTCAGCTGGATCAGTGGCTCCCGTCAGTTCTTTGGCACGAGTTGATATAAGCGCTGGCTGTTAGCTGCTATCTGATGACTTTTCCGTCCTTGTAAGGGGACAAAGGCAGACTGCACTAGAGGCAAAGTAAAGTCTTAAATCACCCATTACACCATCCTTAATCTCGATATATTGTATCTGCTATTCAGACACTGAGATACGGATGTACAACAGGTTGATTGACGCTGTGTACTTTTTGTTTTGCTCATTGTACTTTTAGACAGTCATGGGATAAATGCTGGGCTTTACCCCGCCCATCCAACACTCAGCGTCTCTGGGAGGGGTGGGGGTGGGGGGGATCTACAGGGGCCGTGGGCTGGCCTGAATGCTCGCCTTATGCATGATGATTGGATGATCTGTCTGAGTTGCAATTCCTCTTTTAGTGACAGTGAAATTACGGAATCAACAATCTTGAAGTATAAAACTCCACCAAAGCGTTTTCAAGTTTTTCTTTCTGTTATTCTGAACTGCTCTGGGGACTTTGATGAGGGTGACAATATTCTGATTTCCAGAAAAGAGAGCACTTCACCTGGCCTACTGAAAAGATACTCAGACGATAACTCTAATAATTTTAAAGTAGGCACGATTTTGGGAAAACATACAATATGGCTGTTGCATATTGCAATATCAATACTATTGCGAGAATTAGCATATATCATAAGAAATGACATCTAATTAATGGAATACTTTATTTCATGCGGACAAGTATGACTGTATTCTTATCTACAGTAATTAAATTCTTTGGAGTTAGTAATGCCCCGAGATACTTTTCTCCTTTTGGATGGCAATGCACATTTCAGGTTGCATCTGATTGGTCAAAGTTAGATTAAAAATGTCCACTTCCACATGAATTTGCATTCTGCACTCCACGTGCCGGTATCACAATGGCAACATTTTTCAATATATTTTCCCATGCAAAGGTAGAAAAAAAAATACTAGCTCCCTTTTGGGATGTTTAGCTAAATACGACAACGTTCTAAATACTTTGTAATACCCTTTCTGTCCAAAATCCATCTTGAGCAAAATATTTCTTACTATCTTTTCAGTGTAATCGTGTACAGTGGTACCTCTACTTACGAAGGTCTCTTCATATGACATTTTCAAGTTATGAAACGTCTCAACAGGAAAATATTGCGAAAGAAATTTCAAGATACAAAAGGTAAAAATTACAGTATGGCCTGCTACTCGCAGCCCCGAGTTTCCTGAAGGCAACATACTTCTAGCTGCTCTGCCATTTGCTATTACAGAGCATCATCTTGGCATCCCATTGGCTAAGAAGGACTTCTACCGTTATGCGTGTGGATAGATCGGTGTGGATGCAGCATCCCTCGGGCCATGAGGCGTTCCGATAGTTTTACCTAAATGTGAATCACCCAGAAAAAGTGTTCACCAGTCGGGTGATCGGTCACCTTGCTGATGTTCGCCTTGGACATTTTCGAAGGATTGTTAAAAACCGACAAAAGCAAACGTCCTTGGATCAGTTCTTTACAAGACACCAAGCAAAAACCACTTCTGAGAGAACATGGACTAAAGAGGGCAAAAAACGATGAGGACGCAGTTAAAAGTTAAGTGACCATCATTTTTATTCTTTATTCTTTGTGTTTTACATGATGCAGAACTCACATTTATTATGGAATAATCTAATTGCAAAATGTATTTGTTAGATATTTTGATGGATTTTTATGCTTTAGGAAACATTTATGTCTGAATTTTGGGTCGTTTGGAACGAATTAGGGCATTTACATGGAAAATGCATCTCTACTCACAAAATTTTCTAGTTAAGAATTTTTTTTCTAGAACCAATTAATTTTGTAAGTAGAGGTACCACTGTAAATAATCAAACAGTAGTCTCACAAAGAGGTAATTTAACAAAGAAAAAAAAATTCACTTCAGTCTTTCATTTTTGTCCTCATAATTAATCTAATAATCTTCTCCATCCTGTGTTCCCAGCAGGACAGTAGAACTTCAGTCCAAACTCCAAACCGTCTTTTTGTGTGTGTGTGTGTGTGTGTGTGTGTGTGTGTGTGTGTGTGTGTGTGTGTGTGTGTGTCTTTTTTCCTTAAAAAGAAACTTGAAATAACATTTTTCAGATCATCAGACTAGCCATCTGATTAGTTAACTTGACTGCGATGAAAGCCCTGGTTCCCTGGTCTAACAATTAAGCAACTCAAGCAACTTGGCTCATGAACTCTCATACATCCTACAACTTTTGTGTGTTTTTCTGTATCCATATGAGCTTTGAGCTCTCCAACTTTTATTATACATAAAAATATATGTACAATCGAGCTTTGCATAATGTTACTTTTTTATGTGTGTCGTCACCGTCCTCAGCTCTGAATCGTAATCACACTCCTGTCAGCCCAGTGACTTCAACCACGGTGGTGAAACACAGACGAATGAACGGGATGTCATATTGCTTCCTTATTGGACCGGGTCTGCAATCCGCCCCATTTCAACAGCAAATACTGTAGCTTCTCTGGCTCTCGCGCTTGTAACTGAGCACAACTGCTCCACACACTTGTCCAAAATTCATGAATTGATAAAACTCCCCTGGATGGCCGAACAGGGTGTAAAAAAAAAGTGGACATGTCTGGGCAAGAGGATGGTTGGTCACCCTACAAGTTACCGATCCTCAGCGACTTTGTCTTTTGCATTGATGTTGGCAACTCTCTTCTGTCACTCTGCGGTTTCGCTCCCCATCGAGCAGCGGCAGCTGCAGAGCTTCTCCCCCGTCACGATCACTCACACTCACAGCCGGTCACACAGCAGCCTCGTGCAGCAGCTCCACCTGCTAGAAAGCTGCACATCATGGCAGAGAGTATGAATGTTGTCCACCAGACAGGGGCAAAGATTAGGGTAGAATTTACATAGAATTAAATAAACACATTTGTGAGCACAGTCGCCATTGGTTCTGTCGTGGTTGCTGTGTCAATACAATTGTTTTTTTTTGGTTTGTTTTTTATTTTTTTAAGGACAGTGGCTGCTCGACAATACGAAACATGACATGAAACTATTTAGCCTTTGATTTGTGTGAAACAACATTTTCCTTCTGCATTGCCATTCCACATTCAACCACAAATTTCCACTTTGACCAGAGGATGAAATTCAGAGAGGAGAGGAAGTATTGAATTGATAAACTTTGTTCGTGGAACTTCTAAGATTGCTAGACGTGACCTTTCAATCATCACCAGAATAAGTACTTCTTATAACTCATAACTTAAAGCATTGTTATCATCAACCTCCCGTTGATAATTCCCATCACCAACAAAGCATTCTCATTCACCTCCATCAACAGCTTGCAGTCCATCTCAAAGCGACCCAGTTAGACAAAAGGTCAGATTCCATTTAATTACAATGAAGGCAAGAATAATAATGAGACTCCTCATCGACTGCTGGAAAGTGAGGCTCGTTTTTTAGGTGAAATTCTAAAGTTTTCTTTATTCTCTATGTAAAGTGCAAAGTGTGATATTTTTGATTAAGCAGGATCCAGCGGAGGGATTGTCAACTCTTGTGTGCAAAATAGACTGTCACTGGAGTTAATGAGCTGTTCTTCTGCCAGCCTTTTATATGGTGAGCCAGCAAACTGTCAGGCATGCTTTGCGGTATGAGCATCGAACTAACCCAAAAGTCATGGAAATGCATTGTCTTGGCATTAAATCCATGTGCCTCCTCCTTTTGCACTAACTGATGCCCCGTCACTCTGAGGCTCTTTATCTACCTTGAACCCGAGAGTCGACAAGTTGCAAAAAGAATATTGTCAACAAATGGATAGGAGTGGGCCCATCCGTGATTGACAGAAGTCCTTCATTGTCAGTCCCTCGTTATTTCAGGCCATCCCAGTCCGTCACTCTGTCATCCTTATATTAACGCCCTTCCTTCGTCACTAAATTACATTTTAACACTACTAGTTTAAGACCAGCAAAATTAGAACCCCCCCC